GGCTGCAGCGGCCAGGGCTAACGTTAGCCCGTCTGCAGCGGCCAGGGCTAACGTTAGCCCATCTGCAGCGGGCAGGGCTGCAGCGGCCAGGGCTAACGTTAGCCCGTCTGCAGCGGCCAGGGCTGCAGCGGCCAGGGCTAACGTTAGCCCGCCTGCAGCGGCCAGGGCTAATGTTAGCCCGTCTGCAGCGGCCAGGGCTAGCATTAGCCCATCTGCAGCGGCCAGGGCTAGCATTAGCCCATCTGCAGCGGCCAGGGCTAATTAGCCCGTCTGCAGCGGGCCAGGGCTAACGTTAGCCCGTCTGCAGCAGCCAGGGCTAACGTTAGCCCTTCTGAAGCGGCCAGGTTAGCTATTCTGGATCAGAGAAGGAAGAACCCAGCAGCGGGATTAGGAAAGTAGCCCTAAGTTATGAGTGGTGTCCCTCAGGACTTCATGCTCAGTCATCTGTAATTTAGTTTCATCATCATAAAGATTTCTGCTTCGTCTCCTCATTCTGCCGAATAGATATTCCATTAAAACTCTGCGTTATTGACAGGAGATAAATAGGATCTATGCCATCGACTGATGATAGCGACGCTGAACCTCTGCTCCTCACCTGCAGAGCGGCCATCAGCAGCGAGGCTACGTTCCCTCGGTCCCTCATGGAGAACGACCTCTGAGCTTCCAGGGTGTGGATGAAGGTGAGCAGGAACATCTTGTTGTTCAGCAGCTGGCTGAAGAGACGTAGAGCTTTCTCCACATTAGCAGGAGACTGCAAGGATAAAGAGCTGTTAGTGACCGGCTGTCAGGGTAGTTTCTGTCTGTTCTTCATGGAAAAGCTCATCACAGACAGTCTGACAGCTGATCTACGTACATCCAGCTCTTTGAGGACAGGGTGCTCCTCTATCCCAGGAAACATGACTCTCATGGTGTAGGTGCGATACTCCAGGAAAGGAATCTTTACTCCGTCCATGTCATTGGTCAGCTCTTGGATGTCAGTCTGCAGCTCTGCGAAAGCTGCAGGATGGAAACATAAAGTTAGACAAAGCATGAAGAAAGGAAGCAGAGAAAGGAAGGAATAAAAGATCAACGGACCCTCTTTGCACTCTAGCGCCACCCTGCTCTCCAAGTTGTCCATCTGCAGCTGCAGGCGTTTCAGCGTCCTGTCGGCGTCTCTGGTTTTCCTCTTATAAGCGATCAGTACGGCGATGATGGCGATGAGCAGGATGCCTCCGCCGGCCCCGATGCCGATGATGGCGGGCAAAGTCAGGGTATTATCGGAGTAAATGTGGAGCATACCGGGATAGTACTCCAGACCCCCAACCTG